CAGCTGACACCATCCAGACCAGTAATATGGCTCAACCAGTTCTGCCATCCCACCCAGGAACAGAAGACAGCAAGAAGACCTGACTTCCACCCGCTGTGATTCCATCTCCAACCTGACCAATCAGCACTCCCCACTTCCCAAGCCCCTACCCGCCAAATTATATTTAAAAACACTGATTCCCAAATGCTAGGGGAGACTGATTTGAGTAATAATAAAACTCCGGTCTCCCTCACAGCCGACTCTGCGTGAATTACTCTTTCTCCACTGCAATTCTTCTGTCTTGATAAATGGGTTCTGTCTAGGCAGCAGGCAAGGTGAACCCACTGGGCGGTTACAACATGTCCACCTATGTCTCTTGATAGGCCTTACTGGCAGGATCGAACTTAGCCTAGACTTTACAGCGGCTCATCTGCTTCCACTCTTGCCCCCCTTCATTCTTTGCATAGTGACCAAAATAGTCTTTCTGAAATGCAAACCTGATCATTCTATCCCCTTAGTAAAATCTTTAATGATTTCCCACCCTTCTCAGGATCAAGGTCACAATTTGAACCCAGACCTGTCCGACTGGGCCTTGCATGAGCTGCCCCTCACCATCTTCCCTGACTCATGGTCATTCTTGAGGTCTCAGCTGACATGCCATTTTCGGGAGGAGCCTCCTGACCTTCTTGTGCACATTTGGTACCCTGCTATATGCTCTTGTAACTCCCACACTTAATCTTCAGAGCACTAACCGCCATGGTAACTGTTTAGGTATTCAGGTATGGTTTGTTTGATTTTTTTTAATGTATCTCTCCTCTACGAGGCAATAAAATCCAGAAGCACGTTAACCACACCTAGCATGGGGCTTCCTGGTCCTAAAGACATGCTTATTAAAGAGCTGCCCAATGAACCTTTGTGTCTTTTATATTATAAAACATGTGGTTCTCCAATTTTAGGGAGCAGTCATTAGTTTTTACCATGAGCCATGCAGTGTTAGTTTAGAGAAAAAGGTAGGTTAGCTTTGTGGTTAAAAATTAGGGCTCCGAGCCAGAATTCCCTGGGTTTGAAATCTTACTATTTGTGTGGTATCAAGGAGGTAGTATGATGTCTCCTTTGCTCAGTTTCTTCATCTATAAAAAGGGCAAGGGGACAGTGGACGATAATAGCACCTACTTCATAGGACTGTTGTGATGACTAAGTTGGTTTGAAGTGTGAAGTGTTTAGAAGTGTCTGGCACATGGTAAGTATGTGAAAGATGTTAACCTATTCTTATTTACTCCAAACACTGTAAAAAATAGATGTGTTCTTATCCCCACTTGTCATATGAAAAAAACTGTATGCATAAAATAGACTTGCTTCAATAACCTGTCTAAATGAATCCTTCATGTCATCTTTTCATGCTAAATAAAACTTAAAAGGAAGAAAGAAATGAACATTCTCACATTTTTGAGAGTTGGGACTTGGAGGCTTTTGGGGTTTGGCAAGTTGAAGACAATAAATCAAAGAAACAAAGGAAGTTTCAAAGCAGTTTCAGTCCGGGGACTGTGCCATCCCTCCTGCACTTTGATATAACAAAACTTAGCATGTTCGTGAGAAACCCAGAGCGGGGAGGAGAGACATATTTTCCATCAAATCTGTAGTGGAGATGGGGAGCTGCTGGAGCGTGACTCAGAGCAGCAGGAACTAGCATCTCCAGGTTGCTACAGGAAGTGAGAACAGTGGCTCCTAACCAGTGCCCAAGCGCCTCAGGAACTCTGCCAGTGTCTCCAAAGGCATGGCCATGTCCTCAAATCAAAGTCTTTTGATTTCTTTTTTTAAATCTATGCTACGCATCCCCTTTGAGAGGAAGTGGGTGCCAAAGGATACCAAACAGAAAGATTGTGAGTCACTGGAGTGGCCAGTCTTCCTGGAGAGAGATGAGTCCTGCATCAGTCTTCTAAAAAGACATCTGGCAGGGACAGGGATATTCCTGGCAGCTCATTTGTAATGGCTCCAAACTAGAAACAATCCCATGTCTGTCTTAAGTAGAACAGACATATAAATGGTTGTATATTCACAGAATGAAACCCTATCCAGCAATGAGAGTGAATGAACCACAACTATACTCAACAACAGGGACGAATCCCACGAATATACTATCGAGGCAAAGAAACCAAACAAAGTGCAAGCCAATACCATTTTCATGTAGATTCAAAACCAAGTAATGTGCATCCATGTCAGGTGCTAGAAGTCAGGGCACCGGACAGGAGGTAGTGACAGGAGGGGCTTGGGGGCCTCTGTCCTCTTTCTTAATCTGAGCGCTGGCTACTCAGATATGTTCCTTTTGTGAAGTTCCCTGACTGGTACACTTACGTTTTGTGCACTTTTCTGAATAATATGTTCTATTCCAAACCTTTCTCCATTCTCTCCTACCCTGCTACCTCCATGACCTGAAATCAAGTTAGTCTGGGAGTCAACAGATGACCCCAGAGTCTGTGTCATTGGAAACTGGTGCCATACAAATTAGGACACTTCAGAGGCAGGACGCCATTTTGAGTAGAGCTCCTATTTCTGTGGTGCTGGTTCTGAGGGTTGGGGTCACAGCATTGTCCTCACCTTGGTTTCCCTCCTGTCCTCCTATCTAGTCCCAGGGATGGGCAGCCCCTCTCTCTATTCAAGTGATCTCTATAATACGCTTTGCAACATGGGGCTTTCCTGAGGGGTGAGAGCCAAGGCCATGTGCCATTCCTGCTCATGTGTCCCAGTTGGATCCTTCACTTTCAGTCAGGATCCAGATAGGCCAGGACAGAACTAGAGCTCCAGTGGGCTGATCAGAAATCTCTCCTGCCAAACCTAATGGGAGGGTTGGGAATTTCTGCTCCTGACACCCAGTGGGTGGTTTCACAAGTTTTGGAGGGTGACTGCTCAGGTGATTGGCAGCATGGGGAAACAGGGAAAAGCCTTTTCTGTGACTCTCACAGGCAGGGTTGCAACGCAGTGTGAGCATGGAGCAGCTTGACACAAGGCAGCGTTGAGAGTCTCCTGGGTAGCTGCAGGGATGATGTCTGATCCCGACTGGATGCTACCCCATTCAGTCAAAGCCACGCAACCTGATATGGCACATGTCCCCATCCAGGCTGTCTGGGTGGGTCAGCTGGCCTGGAGACAACAACACGGCCTCAACGTGACAGTCCCCACATTCTGCAGACTTAAAAGGGAAATCCTTTGGATTCTGCCTGGACTCCTGGGGCTCAGCTCTGGCCTTGCCCTTGGGGTTGCAAAGAGGAATAAAAATATAGGAAGGCCTGTGTGTAGCTGCGATGGATTCTTCAAATGATCAGAGGCCGTTTCCTGCCTGTGAGGAGTTGGTACCCTGAGCTTCTTGTTCCTTGGATCCCTCCTTTCCTCTGCTGCTGATGCCCCCAACACCTCGCCCCCTCCCTATTGCTTCTCCTCACCCCACCTCAATCCCCCGGATGTCTACTTTTTTTATTGTGAATTTCAGCTGCCTGCTTGTTTCACCTCCAGTTACTCAAAGGTTTGCCCCAGTGTTGCTCCCCCTTTAAAAGACTCCATTCCTAGGCCTTCCTGCTCCATTCTCTCGTGCGCTTCCCTGGCTTTCTCGGATTTTCATTTTCATTTCCCTTCCCATTTCTACAAAGGCAGGATGCAGAGGAAGGCCAGCAGAGGGCAAAGAGCCCGAGAGCCGGGATCAGGAGACAGGAACGTGTTGGCGTGTGGCTATGGGCAAACCATAGATACTGTCTCTGGTCATCCATGTTCCCCACTGTTGGTGAGGCTGGGTCACCCAGGCCAGAACTCCAGTGCTGTGGGGTGTGCAGTGTTGGTGCTGTGGTGGATGCAAAGAATGGGACTCTGCCCTGGCTTGCGCACACCTACGGAGTAACAAAATCTTCATGTCTCTCTCTAATACATGCACACATATTCAGGTAGCTAGGTAGACAGAGAGATAGATAGATATGTAGCTAGATTAGATAGATGATGGGTGGATAGATAGATAGATATGTAGCTAGATTAGATAGATGATGGATGGATAGATAGATAGATGATAGATAGATAGATAGGTAGATAAATAGATGATAGACAGATAGATAGATAATAGAAAAAATGTGTCAGAATAAAAACATAATCCTATAGGCCAATAAGGACTCAGTCAAAATCTTACAGGGTCACTGAATCAAAATCATTCTTCCCCTTAACTTACTTTCATGACTCTCTGCAATCAGGTGTATCTGTCCACCCCGTTTTTTTCACAATTGAGTGAAATGAGGAAGTAGTGTAAGGCCGGTTTTTCTTTTGCTGCCACAAAGGTCTACATAGCTGCTGGTTCCTGTTCACAGTGAAAATGGTCCTAACCAGATGAATGAGGGACACAAGAGACATAACACAAATCAGAGAAGTTAAAACCAAGCTTATTCCTAAATGCAATTAAACCTAAGCAGAGTTCATGCCTGCCTGCTGAAGCCCCAAGTCTTCTACGTTGATAAAGGGTGCGCCCTCCATTTTCTCTGCTCCTGCCTCCCCCATCTTTTTTCAAACACCGTGGCTGATTTATCTAAGCCCTATGCTGCCTCGCAGTATTTTGAAAACAAATTAGAAAGCTCCTTCCAGTTTTCCAGAGGTGATTAAATCCAAGAAGCCTTAGGAATGTAGAGGATAGAATAATATAAACAACAGATCTGAGATAACCATGTCCGGCAGCAGTTGCGGTTAGTTGCTTCTTTTCCTTTTTCATCCATCAGTGATGGAAGCTGGATTGAGTCCACTGCGTAAAGTTCGGTGGGCATAAATCTGCTATTTGATCCTGGAAAAACTCTGAGGATCTAGAGTCAGTGAGGAATTGCAGCAATGCTGGAGTTTCAAAGGGCCTAGGAAAAGCCAGGAGTCCTGGCTGACCAGCCCGACACTGTCTTACAGGCTGCAGGTTTACCTCAGTTAGCACAACAGGCCAAGCTCTCCCTTGCTCTAAGTCGACATGACATGATTTGTTCCCTTTCGGCTGTGTCAGTTCTGCAAACCAGATAGCAGAGGCTGCAGGCTCAGGAGAGCCTGCCTGTCTGGAACACCGTTTGTTTGGACAGGCCAGGCCACTAAGGCGTTTCATCTCTTTAAAACTCCCAGGGCAGACAGCATATTTGAGGAATTCCTTTTTTCAAAGATTTTTTTTTTTTTTTGCCCCTTCCAACATTTTGTTTAAGAGAAAATGAGATGTCTATCTTCTGTTTCCTTATTTTTTTTCAGGAAAGCAAAGGGTTGTTGACTTCCTCCCTCTCCCCTCCCTTCCTTCCTTCTTCCCGAAGGTACTCATCTGAGAAAAAGAGAACGAAGTATTGTTCCTGTTCTCTTTCTTAAGTCATTCGAAACACTGTCCCTGCGAGTTCTTTAAGTTCCCTGCAATCTGTACACAAGAGAAAGAGGGAGAGAGAGAGGGAGAGAGACAGAGAGAGCAGGGATCAGGTAAAGGAGTGGGGCTGCTGCAGCCATTCAGACCTCAGGAGCTGGTAAGTTACCCATGCAATCATTTCTGCTTCCATTTCAAGGTTCCTGGGTGGATACTGCTGTGGGCATCTTCAACAGAAAATACCTTACAGGGTATAGTCCTTAACCAAAGGATATGAGTGATAGATGGCCCAGAATTTAAGCTAATACTTTTTTTTTTGGTAAGAGAATACTGATGCCTTGCAGAGCTAAGGCTTGCAAAACTAGAAATAGAATTACATTGGGACTAAGGAGGACACTGTGTTAAATCTGAATTTTGGCACAGATCATGTGGCTGGGTGAACCAGGAGCCACTGGCATGTGAGATGTGTCCCACTGGAGAATTTGCTTTTCCTCAGTACTGTGTCCTGGGAATCTTATCAGGGTATCTGTCAAGGACTGTGGGTTTGCTCTGGGGTTTTTGTTAACACGTTGCCTGGATTGAGGTGCCCTTCTCCTGTTCTTTTCTTTCCATTCAGCATCCCCCTAAAGGAGGACTGTTAATTGTTGTATGATGGGTATTCTGCATCACTGAAGTAGGAGGGAAAGAGAGAAGGGAATGTCACTTGGAAATAGTTCTGCATGTGGGGAGCTTATGTGTTCAGGTTCCCCATGCGTGTTGAGTGTAAATTTATTATTCTCTGTCAGTGGAAGATGTCATCTGCCACATGACAGAAGGCAAAGGTTTTGGGGCATATAGCTTTAGTTTTGGAAAACGATATGCAACTAGAATGGGAGGATTAAGATGGATTGTTTATGTCAGTAGGTGGGAAAAACTAAGTTATAGACGCAATTGAAAAACATTCACCCAGTGCCTGGTTTTCCAAGCACCAAAGAGGGCATAGCAAGCTAGTTAAGCTTATATACACAACTTGTTTTTAAAAGTCTAACTTGCTTCGATTAAATTTGTCATAAAGGATAATGTTACCAGGAACCCATCATCACAAGCCATGAGGGAGCCGAAATCATGTTGTCAAAAATAGGTCAGCAAGGTCACTCTGCGAGACTCGTTATGTTTCCCAATATTGATACTTTAATTCAGAGAGATGTCGAATGGATAAAAGCCAATGGCCATGCATACTTTTAAAAAATATTCACTGCTATGAAATTTACTGATTAAAATCATCTGGGATGTGAAGAATAAGATAAAAATAGCTGGACTCTCATTTTTAAAATTAATTTGGCTAGACTATGCTTTAACCACATTCTAGTAATTAATCTTTATTCAAAATTGAACCATCATCTTACTAAGGATGAGAAAACATGATAAAACTAGACTGTGATGTAGCTTTTGTTCCATTAGTCAGACCTCTTTTTTCTTCTCCTTTTTTTAAGAGACTTTCTTTAGGAGCACCATAAAATGAGCAATATAAAGAGACGTGAATAGTGTTTGCCAGCTTGCGGATGCAAAATTATTCTAATAACAATTGAAAATTTTTTACAGCTACCCTACCACCTCCCCTAACTACTTCATTTTCATAGATCTTCAGATCAAAAGGTAGCTGGAATAGATTGTCGAGGGCATTTTTGCATCATTTATCAGCAACTGTGGCCCCAGAAGAAAATGCAGGTCTGCGATCTTGACTTGCTCCTTTCAGTTTCATTTCTCTTGATAATGTATTGAATTTTGTGCTCAACAAAAACAACATCACAGAACACATTCTAGTTTTGTTTATTGAGTAAAAGCATCAGATGCAACACAATAGGAAACAAATGACAGCAGAGTCATTTGTTAAAGACAAGGAAGGCAATTAAATTAAAGACAAGGAAAGCACAAGATGGGTAGGCCAGTGGCTCAGAAAACAGCCCCAATGCTAGCATTAGTATTCACTGTGGCTTGAGATTAAGAAGCTGAGGATATGCAGTTTTCTTTTAAAGAAAAAAGTGTATTCAATATTTCCATTTAAGTTGTTAAGTCATTGCTGTGAAAATATTTCTTGGATACCGGGGGAAAAGAATTTTGGCTACCCGAAAAATAAAAGCCATCAACTAGTTTAGTCTAAGTCACTACCACTCAATCTATCTTTACTCACTCAACTCCAAGGAGTGAGTTGGCATTTGTGGAAACTTCCAGTGTGTGATTCTTTGGGGGTCATCAGAGGGCTCTTTTGTGATATCATTGGGGGAATTCCAGTTTGAAGTGATCCAGAATTTGAGACACACAATATTTTATTCGTTAATTTCTGCCAAAAGTGTGCACATAACTAAATTACAATTTCTTATGCACATTTTAAGTTATGTTAGGATGTGTGTCCTGTAGATCTGTGTGCTGGGATGTGAGTCAAATTAGAGTGAGTAGAGCACAGGCTCTGTTGTTATACTAATTTTGGTTTGAATTTCAGCTTCATTGCCTACTGATTATGGCCCTCAGGGCAGGTATTTAACTGTTCTAAGTCTCAGTGCCCCCAAATGTAAAATTGCATCAACATAATGGAGTTGTGAGGATTAAATACAACTATTGACATAAAACACTTAACATAATATTTGGCAAGTAGTAGGAGTCAATCAGCGTCAGTTATATACTTTTTAAGAGTCATATATTAACACTTAAGAGTACTGTATTTTGTTAATACAGATAATAGAATGAGTCTCCTATAATCTGTGTCATTATTCTTGCTTGATACTATATCAAGGATCTGACAGAGCAGATATTATTCCTCACAGCTTTAGAGTTGGGCACACATTGAGTGAAGATATTCTGAACTCTAAATTCTTATAAAATAAAAGAGTGTAGAGTTTAGTGTATTGACATTCATCTTCACTAGTGGCAGAAATGGCAGATTTAACTTCATTGAATGCAGCTATATTCAACACAGCTCAATGCAGGGGCAAGTTTGTCTTGGGATAAAAGTTTTCAACTTAGATGAACGTGCAAAGAGACTTCAGTTATATTGTAGACATTTTATTCTCCCTTTCACCCACTTCCCCAACTGCTTGAGCTCTGTGTTATTGGTGACCTTTTCCCTGGTTGTGGAGGGCTGGAGACACTTTTTTTGGAGACCATCGTGGTTGTACCATGACTCAGCTAAAGAGAAAAGGACTTAAAGTGACACATTCTCCTCCTGCCCAGGGCTGAGCACACTTGGGGTTCTCTCTCCTCAAACATTCTAATAGTGAGCCACTCGCCTTCACACACAGAAATAGAACACTGTATCACCATGGGTGTGCGTGGGTGTGCGTGTGTGTGCGTGCGCACGCACACGTGTGTGTGTGGTGCCTGATTGATCCAACTGCTATTTTTCTTTCACTCTAAACTTTAAGACCTGTATGACCATTAGTTTGTCAAGTAACAATGATACTTTTTCTTAGGTCTTAGTTAAATTTCTCTCCACTTTCCAAAAGCAAAACACACAACAGCAAAAACAACAAAAAAACTACCACCAATAACCAAAGCCATTCAGGTCCTTTTGTTAGACTGAGAGCTTGTGATACAACAGATACGTATTTGGACACTTCACCTTAGGGACAAATCAAAGCTGAGTTGTTCTGCACTAACGTGTAAAAGGTGCCCTCTCATGTGGCTTGGTGGAGTAGAAAAAGACCAGATTGGGAGTCAGAATGCTGCTGTTCTCATCCAATCTCTGCATTTCCTAGATGCATGACTTGACAGGTTTCTTTACTTGCTTGGACCTCAATTTTCTCATCTGTGAAATGACAAAATGGGATAAATAAGTAATTTTCGAGGGGTGTGTGTGTGTGTGTGTGTGTGTGTGTGTGTGTATTAGAAGTCACCTGGGGGCTTGTTTACAGTCTCCCCCTGCCCTACCCACTTCATGGGATGATCTATGAGACTCTTGCTGACATGCTGTGATTCTCTAAAACAGATGGTCAATGTCTTGCTCCGTCTTCTTCAGGGTGGCATTAACTGTAAATGCTCGTTTGAAGAGCCATGCTTTCAAATGGAATTCTTATCCAGCACTGGATGTTCTCTCTAGAAGGTAGTTCTGAGTATATCAAATGTTATTTTAGAAGCTATTAGTATTATGAAATAAGGAATGTCCTAGCCGGTTGAGCAATCTGATGATAATGATCAATGTTCTAGAACCATATGTAAATCACAAGATCAATTACTTAGATCTGTAAACATTATAAATCAATATAAATAGCACTTTTTTTCTGACACAGAGTCAGGCTCTGTCACCCAGGCTGGAGTACAGTGGCACAATCTCAGCTCACTGCAATCTCTGCCTCCCAGGTTCAAGCGATTCTCCTGTCTCAGCCTCCCGAGTAGCTGGAATTACAGCTGCCTGCCACCGCGCCTGGTTGATTTTTTGTATTTTTAGTAGAAACGGGGATTCACCATGTTGGCCAGGTTAGTCTTGAACTCCTGATCTCAAGTGATCCACCCGCCTCGGCCTCCCAAAATGCTGGATTACAGACATGAGCTACTGCGCCCTGTTGAATAGCACTTTTTGATTTATCCATTCCTATATTATTTGCATCTTAGAGTGAGCATGTATTTGTTAATCAAGAAAAACACAAATACTAAGCTTTTTCTATTCCCTTTAAAAAATATTAGTAGATTCTATTTCATGAGGTTTTGTTTCTTAGTTTTTTACAATGTGTGCTGAGATGAGCCTATTTTACAAGTTAGATCCTTGTCCTTAATTTAATGGTGAGTAGAAAGGTAAAAAGATTGATAATGGTGTTTGAAAAACCAGCATTCACACGTCATATTGTATGCTTCAGTTATAAGGAAAATATAAACCTTATAGGAAAAGTTGTTCTAATTTTCCTGATTTGGTTTTTACCTAAATCACTCTTTTTTTTCTTGTATGATTATATGGATAATGAAGTAAAGCAGTAATGGACACAGATCTCCCTCTGACAGTAACATAGAGGCAACAAATAATTTTAATGTGCACCCTCAGAAACAACTAGCCTAATGATGTCTGTTCTTTTTGACTACTCAAAAACCAAATACATTTACATAAAGCAATGGTATTTACATAAAAGAATAAGAACACTTCTTCATCCAGCATTATGTGTAATACAAGGTTCACAAGAAAGTAAGCACCACGAG